CACACACACACACACACACACAAACACACACACACACACACAAACACACACACAAACATTCACACACACACACACGCAATCTCACCATCACATGGATAATATGATTGAACAGTATATAATAAACGATAATTACCTTAAGCTAGATACATATTCTGTATATTCTATACTCTGTATTCTGACTTCCTTCTTTCTTCCCCACCAGACTGTGAAGGCCTTCCTGCCGGCCATGATAGAGAGGAACTCTGGCCATGTGGTCTCTATAGCTAGCACAGCTGGCCTGTTTGGGGTGCCAGGTGAGAGTCTTATAATCCGTGTTATACAAGGAGGTTACAGTTTTAAGTTCCTTGTTGTTATACTGTATTTCTATCGCTTGCCTAAAGCCACACGCCCGATTCTGAAGTGGGGGAAGTGAGAACGTTACGGAAAAAAACATTTCCCCGCCCAAAGGACCAAACATAATATATGTCAGGACGCAGTGGAATCAGGTGTACGTCAATTTTTGGGCATGTGGAGGTATTAGTATCATCTGAAAGCTGATTTATTTGCCTAGCTTCCAATAAAATAAAAATCTCCTATTTTAATGCTCAGGTGTCAAAAGGTCATGGTCGAAGCAGCCCACTTCTTAAATTAAAGAAATTGTGCTGATAGGGGCGCAAAAACAAGAATAATCATTATATCATCATTTTCAGCATACTTGTTCATCCACTGTATGTTTCAAAGATTTACAACTTTTTATTTATTGTTCTATCGTATTACAGTCATTTATAATCATATCTATTTATTTATTATTCAAAATTACATTCTAGCTATATCACATACAGTCATTTACATTCATATTTCGACATTTACGATAATAACATTTAATGCATGCTCTGTCATTAAAATGTACTGTCATCTACAATCGTATTCTCGCACTTACAGTAACGTGCCATTCATATTCCGTCACATACAGCCATATTAATCTATCATTTATTCGCCATTAATTTTCAATTAGTACTCTGTCATTCACTTAGAGTCATTTTCAATTATAATATTCTATGATTAATTTGAAATACATGTGGTTTTCGATTTTAAACTGTTCCACCACCATTATTATCATCATCATCATCATCATCATCATCATCATCATCATCATCATCATCATCATCATCATCATCATCATCATCATCATCATCATCATCATCATATTA